GCACATTTTATTATAAAGGAAATAGCTACAGCGTTCGAAGGGGAAATTGAAATACTTCCGATAACAATAGAAAAATATATATCATTTACGAAAAATGTTAAACTTGCAGAAGAGAAATCGAAAAATAATATTAAATTGCGTTTTGTCGATTCGTATAAATTTCTTACAGCTAGTCTCGATAAATTGGCATCATTCGTGAATAAAGACAAACTCAAAATTTTAAAATCTGAATTTCAAAATTTACTGAATGACAATTTCAATTTATTAACACGGAAGGGCGTCTTTCCGTACGAATATATTGACTGCGTCAACAAGTTGCAAGATACGTGTTTACCACCGCGCGATTAATTTTACAGTTGCTTGACCGGTGACACGATATCCGAGAGCGATTACGCGCACGCCCAGAAAGTCTGGAAGCGGTTCTCCATTCGAACGCTGGGCGAAGATAGCGACTTGTATCTCAAAATTGATGTCTTGTTATTAGCAGATATTTTTGAGAATTTCCGCGAGAGTTGTATTAAAAGTTATGGACTCGACCCCGCGTATTACTCTTCCCGGATACACGTGGGACGCCATGTTGAAGCATACGAATATTACATTCGAATTGTTTACGGATATCGACATGGTTATGTTTATCAAACGCGGAATACGTGGTGGTTTGAGTCAATGTTCCAACAGATACGCACATGCTAATAACAAGTATATGCAATCGTACGATCCATCGAAACCTTCAACATATCTCACATACTTTGATGTAAATAATTTGTACGGATGGGCAATGTGTCAACCCTTGCCCTATGTAGATTTTCGATAGGTTGACGACGTATCCGATTTTGATACATCATCGATCGCGCGCGATTCACCTATAGGCTACATCCTTGAAGTCGATATCGAGTATCCGCAACGTGTTCACGCTGACGCAGGGTGAAGCGAGGGGGGGATTTAAGGCGGCAGGAGGCAAGAACCAAGCATCGATCTCTTCCGTGGCAGCGGCACTGTCGTGTCTGTGTAGGGCGTTTACACATTTCCTCAGCCCGACAAATAATTGTTAGAAAACAACATTTGCGGGTCTGAAAAAATACGCGAGGTACAAGTGGCTGAATCGGGAATCGAACTCGAGTCTTTCGCTTTCCGGGCAACTGCTCTTACCATTGAGCTATTCAGACCTCACACCTTACGCCACTTTAACACAGTACATACGACTCCAGAGCGATGTTGGAATCTCGCTCCATGGATGCAGTGCCGAATGCCACGGAGAGACGACATCCCCAGCATGTCTCCAGAGCGATCCAATCATATTAAACGATTGAAAATTGGCGCCCGTAGCTGCTCAGCGATGAGTCTTGACTCGTCACCAGTATGAATGGTAGCCTCCTCGAGTAGTCCATCCTAAAACACTACGCCTATGCAGCCCCCTTAATAATTGTTAGAAAACAACATTTGCGGGTCTGAAAAAATATGCGATGTACGAGTGACTGAATCGGGAATCAAACCCGAGTCTTTCGCTTTCCGGGCAACTGCTCTTACCACTGAGCTATTCAGACCTCACACCTCACGCCACTTTAACACAGCACATACGACTCCAGAGCGATGTTGGAATCTCGCTCACACATGCGCACACTGACCTACCGTTTCGCCCGACACGCGACAAACCACCTAGTAAGCAGCAGGATAAGCTGCTCGCAATCTTATATGATAAGAAGCGTTACGTAATACATTGCCACAACCTGCAACAATGCACGCGACACGGACTTCGCGTTACAAAAATGCATTGAATATATATGAGAATATAAAGCGCAACGTCGACAGATTCGATACCAGCGATTACGCAGTGGACAATGTGTACGGTATACCGCTTGCGAATAAGAAAATACCGGGTTTAATGAAGGATTAAAATAATGGCACGATCATGACCGAATTCGTCGGGCTTAGGGCAAAAATGTACGCGTTGCGAGTAGATGGTAAGAAGGATACGAAAAAGGTAAAAGGTGTCAAGAGTAACGTCGTTGTGAGAACGATAACATTCGACGATTACACGCGGTGTTTGAACGAAGAGATTGAAATGATGCGTCAGCAGTCTTGTATAAGATCTAAATTACACGAAGTATATACTATTCGCGAGACAAAAATAGCTCTAAGTCCGTACGATGATAAGCGGTATATTGTACCCGAAACTACCGACACGCTACCGTGGGGACATTACAAAATACCGTTGTAAATAAAAATCTTGTATATTTATTATAAATAAAAATTTTTGTAATTTAATATTATGTATTATTGTTAACATATTTATAATATATTATTTATATCTATCCAAGAGTTGCATGTAGCATCAAATCCCAGCCATTTCACATAAACCTTGTCACCCTTTTTGCGTATCACCTTTTCCACGAGATGTACGTCGGGATTAGCAACGTGATGTAACTCGTATTCGTAAAATCTGCCGGCGACGGAATTTCCGCGCGAATCTTCGAGTACATAGATCACGGGATTAGTTTTCTGTACTTTAACGATTTTAAACACTTCGGTCGTCCAATTTGGCGTGTAATCTTTGTCAAAGATGGTCTTAAATTTACTCACGCGTACCGGATCGTCTACTTTGAATCTTGCTGGTGCAGCAATATTTACGTTGCTGTATACCGTATTTAAAAGTTTATCGACGATCGCGGAGGTAACATCGATAGGTCTCATACCGATAGTGCGATGTTTTCGCACATTGTACTCTCCAACGAGCCGGGACAACTCGTCGATCCACTTGTAATTTCCATTAAGCGTAAATATTTTCCACATATTGTTCTTTAACGTTCGGTTGAATCGTTCCGACGACCGAGGCTTTCATGACAGAGTACGTCGAATAATGATTAATGATGTGTTTCTTCACGAGTTTCTGTACATTTGCGTTATAAAATTCTTTTCCTCTGTCGGTTTGAAAATTTTTCGGGCATCTTCCATCGTCTCGAATTATTTTTGCGATTGTTTCCGACATCACGTTTCCACTCTTATTCTTGAGCGATACAGCCCACCCATACTCGCTCAGCACATCGATAACTGTGAGTATGTAGTTGTAGCCTTTGTTGAATCGTGCATATGGACGCATCTCGACCACATCCGCTTGCCATAGATCGTCGTATCCGCGTACTATGACACGTCTACGTGGGAAATTTTTTCTCGTTGGAGCATGCAATTCTTCCACGAGCAGTTGTTTTTCAGAGGTTTTTCGTAGCATATTTGATCGAGGCATAATTCGTAATAATGAGATATATCCTCCACGTATATTCTTTATATATCTTTCTTCTCCTGCCCTGAATCAGATGTAGTCTGCGCGTGAGTTGCATACCGAAGCATTTTCTGCATCTCATCCATCATTATTTGTACCGTCTGCATATTCGTCTCGAGCGTGATTATTTTTTTCTCAAATTCTTCCTGTTGATCTTCCAAAAGCTTGACACTTATTTCCACGTACTGTTTGTTTGCGGCAGTAGTATCATCTTCCGGTTGCGTTACGCGTCGTATCTTGCGCGACCTTGCGTCAAAGCTGTAGGCTGTCTGACACAGAGCGTTATCGCGCACGTAATTACTTAGTAATCCATTCCATTGATAGTAAGAGTTGTTCGGTGTTCCCAACGATAATCCAAATTTATTAAGCGACATTTCGATACAAATAATAATCACAGGCTGACTCATTTCGTCGACGCATAAATTAATTTATAATAAGGCCAGCTTCGCAAAGTTCCTCGATAATTGATAATATTTCATTGTCGTGGGCATTGTTGCCGGCTTGACGCGAAGCTTCCAGCAATCACAAGCGATCTACAAACTCGTTGGGATCATTCCAATGTACGTAATCAATCTTATTATCGTTTAACGTCATAGCGCGCGGTATGTTTATATCTCTTCCAGCTTTTTTTCCAGGCGCTATTATATTTTTATTAGAGATTAATGGCGCTATTATATTTTTATACTTGTATCCAATCCCAGCAAACACAAAGTAACAGTAACATATCATTAATGTTATAATTTCCCACTCAACAATGTAACTGTTACGTACAAGGCATGTTATATTGCAGTTACATTGTTGAGTGGGAAATTATAACATTGATGTTATGTTACTGTTACTTTGTGTTTGCTGTGTTGTTACTTAATATTGGATTACGCATATCATTGCCATGTCTATGCGCATTTGTCGCCAGTAATATATTTTTGTGTTCAACTTTAACATCGTCATTATATGCGTCACCGTCGGGCGATCTCTTGAAAATCAACTCGTAGAGACCTGGTGTTCTCACGTATCTTCCCAGGTGTGTGCGCAATGTATTTTGATCCTCGGACGTTTGTAATTGATGTTGAACCGACGTCACAAGCGTTTCAGGCGTGGTTTCGAAAATTTCTTCCACAGATGGGGACGGTCTTTTGTACAATATTTGACTTGATTGTACATCTTTTGTCGGAGTAGAAGTAACTACATTCGATAATTGTTTAATTCGCTTACGTTTTGATTGATTTGGAATAGAAGTTATTAGCGAATCGTTTAATGATATATTTGATCTTGTTCGCCTTGTTCCATACTTTGACTCTTTTTTCAGATGTTTGTCTTCGAGCATACTCGATGGTTCAATTCTTGCATTATTAGATTCCACATTGATTGTATTTTCGACAAGTTGTTTTAGAGGTTCGATAATTGGTTTAAAGTGCCTCTCCAATGCGACGTCTTCCTCTAATTGACCAGTTTTTAAAGAACGATATTTTTTGCGGATTAATTCGCTCGTTTTTGCAATCTCTCTCGCAATCTTTTAACGATCGTCACTGTCAATCATCGTCGTTATGTTGCGCTCGGACAAAAATTTTTAGACGTTGCTCGATCAATGTATCAATAGCGACTAATCATTTTACGGTATTGCAAAATCGTTAAATCCTTTTCGATATCGTACATTAGTCTGTAAACTGTCTTTATCAATCACTACAAATCCATACTTGTGTTGCCAACATTTCTGACAGAAAGCGCGAAAATCGTTGTAGGACATGTCAGTATTTACATAATCGTTGTATACATGTTTCAAGTTTGTACCATCTTGTTTAAATAAAATCAGTAAATTTGCATTGTCTCGTATAAGATGCTTGGATATCTTGGCATACGTTTGACAAAGATAGAAACAGTCGACGCTCGAGTGTCGACCAATTGTAAAGTACTCTCTTATCGTATACTTGCTTATCGCACGCCACGTCAAAGATAGAACTGGAATTCGGAAGCCTATCATACGGTATCGAACGTGAATTCTTGGAATAATAAATTTTACTTTGATAACGACGACAAGGAAATTACGATTTCCGAGAGATCGTACGAATTACACGCTATAAACGAATATCTCCGACGTGCAATTTTACGACATCGACGCGTAGTTGTTTCCAACGATATTGTTGATGACGAAGATAATATTAAAGAACACGATGAATATCCAATAATGTTTCGCGCTAATCATAATACGCTAAAGAATGAAATCAAATGAGTCTATAGAATAAATTTTAGTAAACCAGACAACGTTGGATCGTTGTTGGGATTCTCATCGAATCGTATATTATAGCCTCGGAAATGGCACGAATCGGATATACCGATAAATATTATTAGCGTAAATATTATTCGTATAGAATGCTGCGTAACCACTGGCGCGCACAGCAATGACAAGCGCGTACACACGATACATGAATTTTCACCAAACGTGCCGCCAGGATATAAGATATCGGACACGCCAGCACAGATCATTTATCTACCGATCGTCGCACGGAGCATTACTGATTTAACGATACGCATTGTTGATCAAGAAGGACATTTGCTCGATTTTCGAATAGAGGAAATTACCATAAGATTGCATATACGGCGACGGCAAAAATAAAGCGTGTAACAAATGAAATGCTTGTGTTGAACGGAAGCACGGAGGACGCGAAAAACAATATCTTTACGAGGGACAATATTTTTGCGAGAAGACGAGTGACTGCGGTATCGGTGACAATAATCAGATATCTGGTTACGCTAAAAAGAAGCTCAGCGCGTTAAATCGCGAGTTTTTAAAATCATTGGGATTCGTCGTACGAAATACTTGAACGATATGATTGACATCTTGAATATCGGAGGCGAGCCGATCTTTGACGATCGTATCGTCAAGATTGAGACTCATACGTACAATACGAAATACTTGAACAATATGATTGACATCTTGAATATCGGAGGCGAGCCGATCTTTGACGATCGTATCATCAAGATTGAGACTCATACGTACAACCCCTACGCCAACACAATGCTTGGATATAGCGATGAGATACGGATACCGATACGACATCAAGATTTATACACGTTACTGTATACGTTACCATGTGAAAGTTTTCTATACTTCGAGGGAAAGTTGAGAGTGCGTAATGTAGGGGCAAGAGTGGTATTGGGAAACAATTGTGTCGTGTTTATGTTTGATGAACTTCGCTATGAACTCGACGGTGTGGAGATTGACCGCAACAGAAACAGGAATAACTTCCACGATTAAAAACTATGTCTCTCTAACAACCGAGAAAGGTAAAATCTTGGAGAATGCCGCGTGGAATATGTCGCATAATGCTGTTGAAGCTTACATCAATTTTTGCGTGCCGTTAAACATACTATTGGTTTTTTACAATGATTATAAGCGAGTTGTGATTAACGCTTGTTTAAGAATTAATTCTGATACGTTCGCGCAATGATAATAATTGCATATTTGGAAATGCTTCGACTGAAGCTGATATCGAATTATTCAAGATACAATGGCGTATGCTACATGTAGTAATAGTGTATCTAGGCCGGTTCTAAGCCATGGTCCTCTGAAGGAGGGTGAGGGGCGAGGGGAAACTCGCGCGGGGGGTATGACGTCACTCGGGGGGACCGCGGCGAAACCGGTAGGCGAGGAGTCCGCGGCGAGGGGGGAGGGGAAACTGTGTCCTAACCGGTAGGCGAGGGGTCCGCGGAGAGGGGTGAGGGGGAACCGCGTCCTAACCGGTCGGCGAGGGGTCTGCGGAGAGGGGGAGGGAGATCGCGGCGAAATTGGTAGGCGAGAGGTCCGCGGTGAGGGGGGAGGGGGATCACATCCTAACCGATAGGCAAGGGACCTGCTAACCTAACCTAACCGGCAGGCGAGACGTCCGCGAGTAGGTGTGAGAGAGATAGCGCTAATGATATTCTATGGGCGTGCGAGAAGGATAGCGCGAAGCGTCCATATGAGCGTAGGAGAAGGATAGCGCGAGGCGTCCATATGAGCGTAAGACAAGGATAGCGTTTGCATGCACGTTGGAGAGAGATGGTGTGAAACATGCACTTGGGAGAGGGATAGCGCGAAGCATGCACGTGGATGATACGGCGTCCGTAAGGCGGTGCGAGAAGGATGGCGCGAGGCATGCACGCGTGTAGGAGAAGGATAGCGTCCGCATTGGCGTGGGAAAAGGATGACGTTCGCCGGAGAAAGAGAGAGATAATGCGAGGCATGCACGAGTGAGAAAAGGAACGAAGAAGGTGCAGAAATAATTGACATTTTTTAATATAATAATAATAATATTTATTCAAAATTTATGTTTTCGTTTAAATGTGTGTGTGTGTGTGTGTGTAAAAAATAATGAAAATAATAATAATATTATATAATAAAAATATTTGCTGCAGGCTCCTTCTGTCGTAACCCGAC